GGGATGAATTACTGAGCAGCCAGCTATTTTACTGTCATGGACGATTACCTAGTGATCAGGCAGAATTTCATCGCTCCCTTTTCTTGTGCAATGAACAGAATTTGACGATCCCCGTCCCCTGATTTTCGTCCTCTTCGAGCCTAATTGTTCCTTTTCATTTACTTATCCGCATTTAACACCTAAGGAAGTGAACCGGTCGAACAGACTAGTTTCCCCCACTTCACATCTACAAATAAGCCAGTTTGCTATGTCAACACCGGAAAAGAGCTTTCCCACGAGCCGAATTGCAAGGCGGTGAAATGATTGATATGTCAAAGAGATATGGTATTAACGAAAACCTAGATTGTAGGTGAATTTGCACACCATTCTAGATTAACACCAAGATGATAGCATCTAGTTAGCAACATCCGCCTGGCGTGAAGTAGCCAGGTAGTATGAAGGCCAGCTTCTTGATACCTTCCTGGTCCTGCTCGCCACTTCTCGGCATGATAGAGAAACGCATGCCGCCCATTTCTTCACTCAGAATGTCCCCATCCAACGCGGCAGCATGAAGGTCTTCAAGAACTGCGGCTGCAACATATCTCGATGTATTAGCATTGTCCTGCAGGGTTTTGAACACTTCCGCGGCAGTGACCGCCTCCGAATGAGGACGCCATGAATCATAGTCTGTGGCAGTTGCGATTAATGCGTAGCTAAAGGGTTTCTCAGTCAAATTAAAGTAAAGCGAATGGTCAAGTCACCTTAGTTCCGCCTCCCGAGCTAACTTGGCCTCGGGTAAAGCGCTCATGTTAATGAGATCCCCACCCCACGCTCGATACATGATGCTTTCCGCCCTGGTGGAGAACTGAGGACCTTCCATACAAACGATGCACTTGTCCTTGTGGAGAACTACTCCTCTGCCTTTGTCTGCAAGAGCCTTCTCTACTCTTACCTCCAGCCAACGGATCAACTTCATGCTATATGGATCACCAAATGCAGCATGAGCGACTATCTTCGTGCCCTCAAAGAAGCTGGCTGGGCGTATGCCCTTCGTGCGATCAATGATCTGAGTAGGAATGACAAAAGATCCCGGGGTGATCTCTTCGCGGAGCGAGCCAACCGCACTGAATGCAAGAATAACCCGGACGCCCAATGACTTCAAAGCTGCGATGTTAGCGCGAGAAGGGACTGCTGACGGTGCAATCGAATGGTGCTGCCCGTGACGAGCCAGGAAGGCGATCTTTGATCCTGAAGGTAGCGAGCAAATGGTAATGGGCGAAGATGGGTATCCCCAAGGCTAAGAAGACAGCAACGCAGATTGGTCAAGATCGCAGAGACTCTTAGAGGATGAAAACGAACAGTCTCTGGGTTGACCTTCTCCCTGAGGTGTTTGTCGTGAGTTACAGAACATAACTCGTTCAGGTCACAACTCACACGAAAGTCAGGTTATCAAGATGATATAGCCCACTACCACCAATGACACCGACGAGTACTATGAAGTTGTCATAAGGAGCTGAACACGCAGTTGAAGGAAGACGGAACCAACCATCATTGGGGGTCATGATATCAGAGTGAGATATTAGCACTCGGAGAGTTCAATTTGCGGTGTTCGAGACATTTTATTTTGCAAGTTGTAAACAAACGTTTGATCAATCGTAGTGATAGATAAGCTTCGAATCAGATAAGGACAAGTACTAAATTAGCAATCGCAAAATCATCGAATTATTTATGTAAATGCTAAGTATAGGCTTGTATTATGATATAAATTACATGCGGACATCAAGAAGCTCCTGTGACAGTATCTTTGAGTCATGTATCTGATTCTCAAGCCACGTCTTAAACACAACATGATCCTCCAGTGGAAGTCATATACTAGAATGCACTGTGTAGTGAGAGCTGAGAGTATCAAGACAAAATTGCACAAAATCCCAGTTTTTAAGGTGTGATGGTGAGGGTTCAATGTCATCATGACCCAAGTACAAAAAGTCAGTCTTTTCCTTCCTGCATTGAATAGCAGCCACTTTCAGCCATTCATCAAGGGGCTCACTATTGTGCAGCAGCTGGCCCTCTTGATAATGCAGACAGACCCAAGTGAGGACCCATATGAATGACTCTGCATCATGCTGGTACAGGTGTTTGACCTGGCCTTCGATGGCTTCCTTCATGAGAAGTTCAATGGCCATGAAAGGTACTGTGCCTGTATGCTCCTGGCCTGAGGGACTATCTTGAGTTGATGATAAGTCGAAGTCATTGAGGATCCCAATATATCAACCATCTAACATCTTGTAGACCACGAGGTTGCTAGGGTTGACATTGTGGTGATGGACCTTTTCCCCCCCAGAGGGCATAGTGACCTGGAGTTGCAGGTATCAGGGACCAATATGGAGTGCAAGAAGGAAGAACACGTACAGACAATGATGTGCCACCATGCAGTGAGGAACTCCTTGTCGCTCAGGTCTGTAATCTGGTTGAGCTTTCTGAATATGATAATATATAGGACATGCCTGCCATGTTCAGTGTCCTTAAGTCCCAATGCCCTCCTGATGTTTGCTGTGGATGTATCCTCAAACTTGTGGGACCAGACCATCTTTGGGACATGGTGCTTCACCTTGCCCTCCTCATCTTTCTTTGCAATCTCATACACCTTCTGGAGTATTTCAGCCTCACTCTTGCACTCCTCTTCTGGCCAATAGAGCTTCACAACCAGCTCATTGGTAGGGTTATGAGGGTTATGATGAGGGAGATTTGGTACCAGAGCCAACAGTGTCTTGCTTTTCACTGGAAACACAGTGGTTGCATGTCTGCAAAGACCAAAGTGAGTGGTGCGCTTGTCAGACTTCAAATCAAATTTGAGGTCAACCTCTCCAATGTCCTCATCTGGGACCCGAACCTCACCCAAAAATTCAGGCTTAGGCTTGAATACCTGGTTGTAGTGTTGCTGCAGTTTTGGCTAGTGCCAGCTAAAGCCGGCTCTGATTCTTGGGCTTGACTGAAACTCACAAGTCATGCTGCTTACATAATCAAAACTCGGTCTGGCTTATACAGCCACAGCAAGTAGCTGCAAGCTGGCTCAAGCCTGTGTAGATAATTTTAGTGTAATTTAAATTTAGAAACATTACATCTTACTATTGATCGATTATCAACAATCCATGTAAATGACTTAGTTCCCAAGATCCTTCACATACAACAAGAATGGGACCCCAAATTGCAGTACATTGTACCTTTGTGACATTTGGACATTTGTTAAGTCCAAAAATAGGACTGTATCACCATCACGAAAGCCAAGTAGGTGACAGTGAGGAATGCAGAGATGTTGAGGGAGATGAGAGGTTCACAGGATTGAGAAGTGACATTTGTTCATGTGTTGGGGTGTCTGTTGAGGTTTCAGATTGCATTGGTGAAGGTACTCAGGTTCAGGGTCCGAGAGAATGAGTGAGTGCATTCTATAGCATATCCTAAAGATGATTGAACTATTTCAGTTAGTAGCAACAATAATGTGCATGCAAATGCAAATGCACCAAACACCATGCTTGCTCCATTGAGGGATATGAGGAATGTAAGGTTGGTTGTCTCCTTTCGCAGTGAATCCCCCATCTTTCAACAACTCCTTGTCCTCTCCCTTCTTGCACTTGCGATGATGTGTGTTCTGATCACTACCCCTAGGATTAGTTGGTAGTTGTACAACAGAAATGTGAATGATGCATGCACTCTGCCACTTTCTGTATCTTTGCAAGTAAGGCGTCACCATGTGCGAAAATTATGAACACATTCTTGCACATCTCAGTGCCAGTAGCAGGATCAACAAAGGGCTCTGTGATATCCATGTGATTCATGTACAGGTTACCCCTTAGGACATGCCACAAGTCATGCTTGAATGTTGTGGGAATACAAGTCCATATGGGATGCAACCTAAAACCACATTCAAAACAGGGGATGTCAAAGCAGACTTATACATATGTTTGATAGCACCCTTGCAATACAGCTGAGAACTCAGCATTCAAAGATGGAAGAAGAATTGGGATGGCCCTGTGGATGCAATGCAAGGGCTTTACAAAAAAAGGAAGTAGTGGTATCAATATCTTGAAGAATGACTGGACACTGGTCCAGAACCAACTGAAAATGCTGCAAAGCAGCATTCAGGTGAGAGACCCTCCAGCAGCATGTCATGTATTTGGCAAATCTTGCATGGCCCACATCTGTGTCTCGACCAAGCTCACAATCTACAAGGGACTATAGTTGGTGTTCTGTCAGCAAAAGCTAACAGCATAGGCCAGCATCACTCACACCAGACAGTGCACCATCCTGATTGTCACAAGCATGTATGATGGCAACCTTCAGTGTGAGGGAAGGGCAGGCACCATGCATGGGTGGGAAGGATAGATCTATGAATGTTATTATATGAGCATGAATGAGGAACAAGTCGCTAACCGAATGGTTCATCTCCATGATGAAGCAGCTTATTCCACAACATTTTAAGTTTACTGATGACAGACATTTGAGAGTCAGTGTAATGGGCATGTTGAATCATGCCATGACTTATGATCCTCTCAACTTGCAATAAAATTTGTTTTTTGGCTTCCTCTACATTCTCCTTGTGACCTGTAATCTGTTTACAGATACAGTGAGAAATAGGGAGAGGAAAGACAAGTAAGGTGAGCAACTACCTTGACCTTGGATTTCTGATGGACAGCCACCTTCTTCTTGCCTGCCTCCTTTTCCTTCTCATCAGCTTTGTCTGAGAAGTCAACCTTGACACTGAGAGCATCGTGAAGTTTGTTGACACCTGAACCCTGTGCACTGACAATGTTTGCTATGTATGTGGATCCATCAAAAACTTACCTTCTCAGAGAACACATCAGTCTCTTGGAGAACATGCCGGGCCTCCACCAGCTCCCTCATGCACTCACTCAATGTCTTGTAGCTATCATTCATCTGCATGAGCCACATCTCATGCTTGGCAAGTGTGACATTAAGCTCATCAATATTATGTGCAGCACTCAGTCCAGCTGTGACTAATGGGGATGAATCATATAGAGGACAGATAGGAACATTGAAAGGGATTGACAGCAGGGTTCAACTGTGGTATCATTCAGCAGCATGACAACAGTTGAAAGGAGTGCACATACATCCTTCAATTGAACATTTTCCAGTTCACCAAGCTCTGCAACTGCATCATGGGCAACTTCAGTCGGGATAAGGAACTGCCTCAAGCTCATCTGTCCTGAACCTGTGAACATTGTCAGTAAGTAAAACAGAGTCATCACAGTTCAGGCTCACATGCATGGAACAGCATGGAGTAGTCATCTCCCATGGTATTGATTCATCTGTCTATCAAATAAATGAGAGCAAAGGTCAGGACTCAGGACAATGTCAGAAAAGTAATGCCACTCAACACATGCGCAAGTGTTGTGGGGAAGTGAAAATACCGCCCATAGTCTCAACAGTCTGCCCTGAAACTCCTTGCTGGCAATCACAATGTGTTGATATCAGAGATGGTTGGAACTGGGTCAGGTGAAGTGCACACTGTCAGCTGGTCACTGTGTGGCTGGTGAGAAACAAATAAAGCATTGAAATCAAAATCAGCACAACAATGAGCAAGATAGTGCAAACAAAAGGTGAGAGGCAAAACAGTAGATGCGAGACAAAAAAAGTCATAGAAGTAAGGGTCACTTGTCATAGATGATAGCAGTGTCCTTGATATTGTCACACTCCTCCTCTGTGATGGCTCTGAGAAGAGCATCATTTGCACTGGGGGTAGATGTCAAAGGCTCGCTAGAGCCCATGTCATATACCACCCCATGTTCCATGTCCCATTGAGAGGCTGCCCAACCTTTCATAAAGTTAAGCCATTCTTTCTTCAAGAAAAACTTGACCATCTGCAATGCTTCCATCAAAATGGGACTAAGGCAATTCCTTTTCTTCATATGGGTTTTGCTGCTGGATGAAAATACTTGCTCACATGGCACCACAGAGGCTTGTACTGGAGTGTAGTCCATGGCAATTGAAAATATAGTCAGGAATATGGACTGCAAAGCCTAGTCAACAGCTCATGGTTAATGAAAAGGGTGTGACTTGAAGAGGTAACAGACTCACATTCCAGAACACAAGTATGTCTGTTCCATGAGGACTAAGTGTAGCTGTAGGATAAGCAGTGAACTCCTGATCTACTGTTTGACCACTGCTGTGGTGATGTGGCACATGTACATGTGCCATGGGAAGTCCATAGTGATGTGAGCCTAGTGTGTGTGGCAGCAGTCATGGGGCCACTACAGGTTGAGAATGTGCAGGATCAGTGTTTTCTGCTCTTTTGCTATGCATCTGCAGAAAAAATCAATCCAATGTTGTGCATTTATTTACAACAGAGACATACCAGCTTCAAGATAAACTCCTTGGCTTCAGTAACATGATCCTTCTCCCATAGACTGTCCATCCAAGACATCCACATCGCAGGGTCAATAACTATGAAAGTAATCATGAGATCAATATTTATTAAAACAAAATATGGGACTGACACATAGTGACAGAATAAGCATGTGTCACACTCATCTGGTCAGTGTGTTTGCTTGCCCAGGTTAAGCCTATGTCAACAATAGGCTTACAGTGAGGTATGTGCTGGCCAAGAGACTCCCAGCTATTGATCAACTCTTCAAAAGTTGGAATGGCACAGCTCAGTAAGGGAGTGCTTTCACTGGAGAGTTTTTGCTGGGTGGCATGTGGTGCCTGGTATGAAATGTTAAATTAGATCATGAGCTTTGAACACATCAGTACTTACCTCCAAGATCACTTCCAGGTCCTGAAGGAACTGCCAATCAACATCACTCAATCTTTTGTTGGATATGCTGCATTGAGGCCAAGCATCAAAAAAGGCATTTACCACCTGAGCCAGTATTAGTTTATGACATATGTTTTATGATGTGCAATATTACCTGCTGCAGTGTCTGCAAATGGTTAATCATAATATATACCAAGTGCCATCTAGTGGGCTCATCAAGGAGGAGTTCTACAACTGGGAGCTGTATAGAGTCACCCTTGTCATCTTGAAACTGACCGTCCTCATTACCCTTAAGGATGCAGTCACAAAACCTGTCACACCACTGATTTGATGCATGGATCAATCACATGATTATCCTGGCTCACTCGAGAGGCTTGGTTTGCACAGCCTGGACATAATCAACTTTCTTGATAACCTGATCTTCGATTGTCCATGTATTGGACACAGTAGAATAGTCAGTAGTAGGGTATTTGTCAATGATATGCTTCA